ACTGGCCACTTTTTGACCAGAGTCGAGGACATCTCTACAGATTAGTTTAGTATTTAGGCGCAAAATATCTGTAAATACTTCGGACGTATACCATGGTAGACGTTACGCGGGGTTATCTCGAAAAATAATTTTTTCTGGTTGTATTTAAGATTTATAATTTCTTTTTTTTTTGTTACTCGCACTCCAGTGGTGGAGCACATGTGTGTTTTTTTTTATTAATCAATATATTGTGATTCATTTGATATCTTGTTTATTTGGCTCTCTCTGTCTGTACTGTTACTTAAACTTCGTCATCTCTGCTAGATTCTCCTTTTGTGTGGTGGTCAAGCAAAACAAGTTCCGACTAACATCTCGAGGAGTTGTGGCTTAATCCGTCTTAAGTCACTGGGTTATGGGTTTTATTGCAATAGCTTGAAGATTTTGGTATTCGAAAACTTAATTTGAAAGTACTTTGGGGATGCAAGAGGATTCAGCGTTCATTCCCTTAACGATAAACTTACTCATAGAAAAAATAAAACATGATTTCTAACCCCGTTTTCACAAATAAAAAATAAACACGACCCACATTATCGTCCAGTAACCGCTTTAGCACTACAAGATTTTACCGGCATAAACCAGTTGAAAAAGTATATAAATGGGAGATATTGAAAGTAAACCGGAATTATTCAGATGTAATAAGGTAGAGTTAACAAAAATGTGAAAGCATCAATACCAAACTCCCCCTATCTTTAGCCCTTTTGAAGTTGCTGATGACTTTCGGATCCAATACAACCCTGCTATCCAGGGAAAACAAACTTCCGGGAATTTCATTTGCATAAATCCCATCCCACATTAGGGATGGCCTTGCAGGGGTCTTCGGCAATGCCTTGTATATGTAGATAGCGAGTTATTTACACACGGTTTTCAGTTTCTTTCTACGTCATTGTTTTTCTGTAGGGAGAGTAAAGCGAATCGGTTACCAATGGGAATTATGGCACAGTCAACATAGCTTTTTTTGACAGAGAACATTTTTTATAGCCACCCTCAGGCAGAAAAGCTCAATAGTATACATACACAGCACATAAAAAAAGTTATACCGAAGAAAAATAAATGAAGAACATAAATGTGTGACGATACTATAACAAACACTATATGTGACTCAATTCGGGTGAAGATGATATGGGAGTCTGGTGCTTTTTTTACTCTAGTATCTCTATCTTTAAGGTCAATGATTTGGTATGTATTAGACTTTGATAAAGTCATTTTTTTACTTTCTTTTTAACAGTTTCAGGTGTGTTTCTGTATTTTACGATCCAGTGGAGTTTCCCTTAGGCTACTTGCACACACACCGATTTTGGACGGTCGGTAAAATATCGGCCGACCACATTTTAATAGTAAATCATTGGAGGGCATTGAACCTTGCACACTGACCGACCACCGACCGGCACCGGAAAAAAGCCGGTTAGCAGCCGGACCTTGACACTGTGATGCGCCGGTACCGGGAATATAGAGGCATACGTGTTTGAATAGGAGCTTGCACACTCACCTATTATTTAGTGGCCGTGATTACGACTGCATATACGTTTACAATGGATAAAGAGATGAACATCGATAATGACATGCTTATTGCGATAGTGGAAGCAAGACCAGTTTTAGGGGATAAAACTTTGGACATACTTAAAGGCAGAAATGCTACTAGAGGAGCATGGAGCCAAGTTTGCTGCGAACTGAATGAGGATTTGAAAGAAATGGAGTCCAAAGAAAAAAACATTCGCTTAATTCTCCGACGCTTTATACGCTGGTACAGTAACCACATTGCAACAACTCGTTGGGGATTCATTAAAAGTAATATTGGGAATCAGCACTGCACCGGTAAAAAACCGGCGCGTGTGTAAGCAGAGCCAACCGATAAAACATCGGTCGATATTTTACCGGCCGTCCAAAATCGGTGTGTGTGTGCAAGTAGGCTTACGCTACCCACAGAAGGCCAGCGTTCCCCCAGAATGGATTCTCGGATTGAAAGATAGTGCTTGACTGTCTCATCTTTCACTTCACAATCCCTACATAAGGATGAGTCACTCAATGTCATGTTACAGAGATGCTCTCTTAGCTGACAGGGTCCAGTCGCAATGCCTGTGGCAAACCGAAGTTGTCTGGACATGTACAGGTAGTGTTTTGCAGCTTTTCCAGCTGAATTTATTTGCTGTAGTTCTCCATGATAATAACTAGATTCCAGAAAGCGATAAGACATTTGTAAGATATTCTTTCCTGGTGTTGGGGCTTCTACAAGGTTTTTCTTTCTAGAGTTAGGATTACTCTATACGGTTCTTATGTTGTGTATGTCAGTATGAGCTTTTACCAATACTGTGTATAGTGTGTATAGTTGAAGAATTACAAATCGTTTCTGTAATGAATTTTTGTTTTATTTCCAAGTTTCGACATTTGCAGCTCCCCAAACAATACTACCGTATCCTAGACGACTTTTTGCTATGCCATAATATGAGGTGCGACGCTGTGTATTGTCCAACATCTACTGAGGTATCTGATATTCTATTGTACTGTGCGCAACTTCCCTGTCTTTTACTAGATGTATCTGAAATCAGCGTCTATATATATTCCGAGATACTTCATCCCTTGCATCAATAAAGTATCGTATTTGATATTAAATTTAGATTTTTGTAGGCAGGCAATTGGTTGGTGTGAGAATCGAAGGACGATGCCACGCTTTTTCATGAACAAGAGGAAATGGTATTGTGATTGCTCTTTCCTTTTTTTTTAAATAATTAATTAATAAAATACGATAAATGAAATCTAAGGGTCAGTCAATGCAAAACAGCTGTCTAGTGGCGTGCAAATGTTGGCCCTATCTCAATAAAGCGAAGAGTAGAGGGGGGGTTAAGAGCGCCAATGACTTAAGGCCACAAATCCCCGAAATGTTAGTCGGAACCTGTTTTGCTTGACCACCACACAAAAGAAAATAATCTAACAGCAGTGATGAAACCTAATTAATTGTATACAGAGAGCCAAATAGAACAAGATATTTGAAAAAAATCACAATATACATATTATCTTCTCAAACAGTACATAATATGCTCCACCACTGGAGTTCAAGTTAAAAAAATGATTATTATTATTACAATGCCTCACAATACAATTATTATAAGTATTTGAACGCCTAGACCTAAACTTATCTGGACAGTGGTGTTCTTCCAGTTACGGCTCCAGGAGCAGCCAAGATGTCCTCAGCTTACAAACTCTCGGGTCAAAAACCAGTGTCCAGCAGTGGGCAGTGTCTGAGGAACGCCACAGGGTAGGGGCTTCCTGCCTCATTCTCAAAGTTTACGGTATAAAAAACCCTAGACAGAGAGAGAGAGAGCTTAGATATCGACTCTCTATTCTCAGACAAAGCTACGCATTCAAACACTCGAACTTGAAGAAAAACCATGTACATTCTCTTCTACAAGAAAAGCAAAGCAAAGGCAAAAAAAATATAAAAATGCACTAAAGTAATATACCTTCAGAAAGTTATCCCTTGTTCTACAAAAATGACAGCTCAAAAATCGATATCATGATCTATGTGTGGAGTAAGCCCAAAATAAGGTGACATGTAGGCACTAGGCACTGCCCATGTTTGAATACGTAAAATGTCAAACAAATCAAGTACACTAGAATAATTTCAGTCAGCAAGTACCTATTTAATACCTATAAAATACCCAATTAAAATGGTATTTTACCTGTTCACACCAGCGTTTTTGTCAAGGGGGAGGGGTGGCTTCCAGCAAAATCGGCTGCAAAATAGCTACAAGGCGGCTAAAAAACAACGCTGGAGGAGTATACATGGTGGTTCTCCGCAATGGCTTCCCACTAAAAGGAAGCAGATATTGAACAAACTTCTTCAGGACATGCACTAATGCACGTAGTCCGATGGAGTAAAAAAACTTACCGCTGAGGTTAAAATCCCACAAGAAAATGGAGAGGGTAGCACCCAAACTAAAACAACTCAATGTAAGGTACAAAATAAAAAGGTGCTACTGCACACACTGGTGTTTGGAGTCTAATATCCCAGAATCCGAAAGGTAACGTAACGACCAATGCACCACGGTCTCGACAAGAAAAAAGAAAGTGGTGCAGAACACCTAACTTTTTAAAAGAAGGTATCGTTTGATAGGAAACCAAATATTCTTATGAGTACTACGTAGAGAAACTACAGAGAGGTGCGTATTGCCAATGGGCGCGGGCACTAGAAAACAAACTACGAGGAACCAACGATATTTTATGAGGAAATCTCTGAGACCGTCGTTAATAATACTGTAACATTAGTGTCCAAAATATTTCAACACAATACTGAGTTGCTGAGAAAGGAAGTTATAATTCGTGTGAAATGATAAAATCAATAAACTATGAAATTTGCCAAAAGAAAATCATTAAAAAGGGTGTGGTCTAGGAATCGGCACTCTACCATTAATAAAGAGAAATTCAAATTACTGGTAAGTGATCAAAACAGTAAAAAAAGGTCACGTGATTTTGAGACGTTACAATGAAGTTTGCTTTGCTGAAGTTAATAAGTGTCAGTATTCGACTGTCAAACTATTTATTGATTTTAAAAAATTCGGGTTCCAGCCAGTGGCTTCATAAAGCACACCAGTATTGTCAGTAAAACTAATATGTTGACGTGAGTGAGAAATACTTTGTTGGGTATAACGGAATCCTGAGAGGTTTCATAACTCACATAGGTCTTAGACTCTGTGAGCTTGATCACCCTGCGTTTAACAACTGATTGAAGGTTAAACAAAAGTTTATAGATTATTCATACCATGACAGTTCCGGAAATGGCGACTTGGACCATCGCACCAGTTGCTTTAATTATTTTTTATATCTATGGAATTGCAAAAAAAAGAAATATTGAACTTATACCATGGAATCTTAATGTGCCGCGCGGTGGCGCAGTGGTAGAAGCTATAAGTTTACTAATCAGTCACCGAGTGCGGGTTCGAATCACTTCCTAAGAGATTTTTTTCTAGGCGATGGATACTGCGGTTGTCCGTTCGTGGCAGGCGGTCTCGGACTCTCCATCGTGGAGGTACCACCTGGCGGATCTCCTAACGCGGACCAGAATGTCTGCATGTCACATGCACACGTCTTTCCTCGCCATGTAGCGCGCCCTCATGGTACCCACGGGGCTTCAGGCCTGCATGGTGGCTAAAGTATAAAAAAATGTCTACCTGGCATGTTGCAGTATTTTTATATTTTTGAAATTGAAAATTGTAGATTACTAAATCGATCTTTTAATGAATATTGGTTGAGTCTTGTGAAACAATAAACACTAGATCACTTAGAGCTGATGGGTTTTTTAATTTGCCTACCAAATAAGTTATATATATACAAAAATGTCTCAGTACAGTATACTTTTTCTTTTTGAGCGTCTTTTCAGCAAGGGGAACATCGTAGAGCACAACTGTTGAAGGAGTTCAACCCTGTGTTAGTTATATTACACCATGAACAAAAAAAAACATTTGAATGAATTGAGCAACAAAAAAAAACATCTAGCCCTGTTGACTGTATCAAATAAGCAACATTTATTATTTTCTGTAATGGGACAGGCAAAGCCTCGTGAAAGGAAATTCGAGTGAATTATTTCAGTTAAGAGCGTAGAGTACTCCGACCAGAACATTCTTATTTTTGCCATTCCCTTTTTCTATCTTATCTCGCTCAGTATACGGAGAGTAGAAGGCAGCGCGACATGAACGAACTTACTCAGTTTTTACTGTAGGGTGGTATTAAGGGCACCTTGATAGCAGTGCCATATATTTCAATCCTCGAACGCAGAAAGTTCATTATATGAGGAGAGTCTTAGATGTGCAGGGTTCGCCAGAGTGCGAGCAACATACTTTATTCCAGTATACAGGGTAGCCCCGCTACAAATTGTATAGTCCGTTGAGGAAAAATGTTCCATATAAAAGTTGTAGGATCTAATACCAAATTTTGCGTGCAATACCTTTTTTATATGTGCTATCCATTGAGGTTATCTGTATTCAGATGGAACACCCTGTATACATTTTTTTATAGACTACCAATGAAATTGAGCATATTAAACTGTATATTTAGAATCACAAAAAATATACAGGGTGTTCTAATAAAAAAAATAAAGCTGCATTGGATAGCACTTTCTTATATAAAATAGATATTGCCTAGAAAACTTTAAGCTAGACCCTACAACTTTTGTAAGTATTTAACTTTTTTTCTAAAAAGTCATGTAGAACAAGATAAGAGCGGAATGACTGCAGCGGGACACCCCGTAGGTACAGCCGCCTAAAGGTTATGCGTTAAGAATTAGATGCGTGGGTATATTTTCAGAACAAACATCTTATGACAAGTGGTATAAGCTTTTGAAAGCAAACTTTCACCAATGAAAGTTGAAGCTGACAGGGTCGGGAGAAGTTAATGGAATAAGCTGTCTACAAGGCAAGCTACAGAAAGTGAAGGGAAAGGTACCAGGTGAATGGAAAGGCTTCTGGACTATACATGAAAAGGTACCTTTATCTCTAAAAACATAGGCTTTCTGCCTAAAATTCAGCGAATTTCTATTTGATTCATAACTTCTCTTCCTGCACGGGAAAGAAGCTTAATTGATCCAATTAATGTTTTAATTGAGCCAATTAATTAGTTAATCAAACGGTTTTCTAAAACAGTTTCACATAAATTTATGAAACTACTTTGATCAAATCGAAATCGTTTGATTGAATTTATTAAACTATTTACTTAGCATGAATATATAGGATTTATTAAAAGCTAATGAGCAATAGAAAGAGATTACCTGTTCCAATTAAATAATTTAATCATATTTATATTTGTTTAATTAGGGTTAGGTAAAGATATTTGCCTAGTTTCAATGAAATATTTTATTCAGATTTAAAAATCTATTTGGATAATGCATAGAATTTAAAAAAATAAATTCCATTTCGCTGAATAATGAATAGTATAACCGCACTCTGACAAATCTGATATATCAAAACAAATGCAAGACTTGATATTGATAATTGATATTTTCGGATCAAAATAAAAACTTCCAAGTTTTGTAACATCAACAGAATTCGTTTTTTTTTTCTATTTTCGCTGATTGTGATGGGAAAAGTTTCTTTTGTTATTTGCCCGCTATGTTCAGAAACAGGTTATAATATATCACCATTAACTAGCAGTAAATCATTGATTTAAATGAAGCAAGGAGGGAAAGAGGTACGTGAAACTGATTAAGAGCACATGGTCGCGTGTAAAAAAATTATTGCGGAAAGTACAAAAGATCATAAAGCTAACAGATTCCCCCACTGGCAAAAAGCGAAGGTATACTTTTCAACAAATTTTGTCAGTATTCAAGGTGCGAGTGGTGAAAGTAGTAGTATAAAAGTGTTTGTATATACAAGCATCATTGCTTCCGCATCTCTAGCATCGGTTTACAAGAGCAATTTTCAAACTCAATATTATCAGGCTCATCGTCACACGAAACTAATGCAATTCAATGGACCTCTCGCGGTTTGCTGAATCCCATTGGTGGGAATCGAATTTGAAATACCCGGTTTAGATATTACCGATATCCAGCTTTGCCTATTCAAAGCCGACATTCGCAACTGGCTGGGAGCTGTATTTCCATGTTCCCAGCATAATAGTTAGTTTTGGGAAATTTTAAACACCATTCATAAAATACTAGTTTGCTGAATTTCGATGTTCGCTATCCATACAGTAAATCAACCATTTTTTGAAGAAATTCAGCAACAAAGAGAGTAAAAATGCCAAATAGAATGATGTATCCAGTGTTCTAACTTGCACCTAGTATTCACGAAGTATACTCCTACACTCTGATACAAATGAGAAAACAATATTAAAAAAACTATCCATCGGTGAAATTCAATACCAATATCAGAATCAATACGGAATGTAGGAGTTAAAGATTGAATGCATTCAATTTCGTGTTGATATCAAAGGCAATTTCAAATCACGTCGTCTTTTTTAAATCGTATACCCATTCAACCACCTTTTTTAGAAACAAAGGATGGAAACATTTTGACAGTAGCATCCATTTGTGAAAATGATGTTTTTAAAGAAAATCCATCCAAGTGAACGACAAAACAATTTGGAAATTTTTCTATAACTCCACGCCACCGTCGAGGAAGTGTTGTAATGACAACAAATTTCGACAACGAGACATGTTTTCTGGATGTTACATCACTTTTAGATCACGGAAAAAGGTGTCATTTATTTTTTCCGCTATTGGCCCATGTAACTTAGAAGCATTTGGATTTGGATGAAATTTTCACACAGGGTTACAAATTGCCAACGACGAAAAAGCTTGGTAGTCTTTGTAAGTTGGCCTAGTAGCGGCGGAGCTAGGAGCAAATAACAAAAACAGTAAAAGTCAATCATACTTCGTTCTTTGATGCTCAAGAGAACTCTGATCATTCTCTTTGTAAGAAAAGTATATATTTATTTGCTTCCGATCATAGCAATTCTATGCGGTTTTTTTGTTACACGGCGAGTTGTTTCACGATGTTCTGTTGGATATGTACCCGCCTCTATATTCTCCCATATCCAAGCATTGCCTTATTCTGTGAGTCCTGGTTGAGCCTCTAGTTTTTTCTAAGCATACCTAATGCAGCCGAAGCAGGTGGAAAATTAACCTTCAGATATACGAGAATTCATAGAGGTACGCTTTCTGCAGCAGCGCGCAGAGTTCAGAAAATGAAAGTTTTTTTCTGAAGCGGCTCTTATTAAAAATTTCAGCTCAATTTTATCGTAAAATAGAGCGGCAATGATGCGGGAGAAATCTCTTGTATTTTTTTTGCAGCACATACATAAGTAAATCTAATCAAGTTTTTGTGACTATGAGTACATTTTTAGTGAGACCACTTTCCATTCTCCATACTTTTTAAATATTCTTTCAGTAGGTAGGTCGCGTACCTCTGTAATACATCCAAATGAACTTTTTATCCGACAGCCTATAGCAATGGAAGGTGTCAGCAAATGCAAAAAGTACTGGCACGATGTGATGTGCTTGTGCAACATGAGTGACTTCATAAATTGATCGTACGTTTGCTATTCCTCATTCAAAGAAGACGTCTCAGCAAGCCTTTAATAACCAAAACATCTTGGCCGGCCCAAGTCTGTATACAGGGAAAACCATATTTGTCCGACGGCTTGAGTTCAATGTGTACGAGGGAGACGCGCGAGAAGTTTATTCATTCACACTCGTTACGTCTCGTACACATTGAACTCAAGCCGTCAGGCAAACTTGGTTTTCAGTGAATGCTGGGGTGCCTATAATATGTTAAGAAAGTTATAATAGCTTCAACACTGCGAATGGCATTAGTTCCAGTACAAAATCTACAAATAGAATCATCACCGATCATACTCTTGAGACTCTATAAGACTAGACGGGGTAGTAATTATTTTGGTGTCAGGTTCATTTAATTTAAAGCTTTTATAACTATATAGTTTTAGTGACATGGTCTTTTTATTTTATCCCCATGTTTCAAGCTTCTTCGTTGTCAGTCTCAGTAAGTGTGAGTGTTAATGCTACTTTTAGGTATTCATTTATTAAGTGTTTTTATCTCATTTCTTTTCGACCTGTGCAAAGATTTTGTTGTTATCATTATTATTATTATTATTTTACTAAGGAAGTTATAAAGCTAGCGCTTTTACTCAAGAAAGCTGGAACGCAAAAAATCTGCATGTTAGTTTCTTGAATTTACAAATTCTACAGTCAAATCATGCGAAGTATCTCAGAGTCCATTTAGACAAGAACCTTACATGGCAGATGCATATTTTCTTAAAAAGGAAACTGGCATCAGAGTCAGAGAAATGTATTTGATTATTGGCAGGCAATACTACTCTGCAATGCGTCATTGAAAACAATTTGGACGTATGGTATTGGAGCACAGTGTCCAAACAGCAATCATACCATCCTTCAATGATACATACATTTCGAGGGAAGTGATTTAGCATGACATCCCTCTTCCTACTATCAAAGAAGGGATCCGCGAGATTAGTACCAGATACAGTGAGGGAATTGAAACACACCCTAATGTGTTAGCAAACTGATTATGTGTCAAATAGTGACCTCGTTGATCACTTTCTTGTTCCTAGGTAGAGGCAATCACTTCATTGGAAATGTACTAGGGTGCGTCGACGATCACTTTCTGGACCTTGTTCTGCAACTGTTGAAGGATGACAATATTGCTGTTGCCCGCTGTGCCCCAGTTTGGAGTTTCCACCACTCATCCAATATATTGCTT